GTACACTCGTGTCGACTTGATACTTATGTAGCACTGGCTACATATGATTATAAATTCAAGAATTAGAGAAAAAGATATTTTTTTACTAAAACTATACCTTGTACATATGTTAATGTATGAGAAGAAGTACTAATTATTATGTCAAACAAACAAACATAGGGTTTTTCAAAAAAAAATAATATACGAAACTGTAGTAAATATGTTTAAATGGATCAATTGCATTAATACTACTAGAAAATTATCATTTTACGTAGGTATAACTAATAATACGTGAAAACTATCAAAATATAACTATGTGTAAAACGGTACTACTAGAAAACTAAGTATAACTATGAGTAAAATTTTAATATTTTTTAATTGTTGACGGCGCATGTGTTAAATATGACATTTTTTAATTATTAATTTTTTACACACATGTTTTATACTTATAACACAGTAATACTTAGTAACATCAATAGTACCAAAACCAATTTAACATAAAATATGAATTCAATATTACCTTTAATTATCATTAATTATTCCAGGTAAATACAATAATACTTACAAACACCAAAGAACATTTCAAAACACGACAAAAATATTTCTAGACTTTTACTATATAAGTCATTCTAAAAAATTTCAAGTACAAACCATAAACCTAAAAATATGAGTTTAGCATTACAAGTCTTCTGGGTACATAAAAACATCAGTTTAACATTACAAGTCTTCAAGAACTCTCTTCTCCATTCTTCGCTTCAGCTAAGGCAGAGACATACGCATCCAAATAAATTATTATACTTTTATCGACATGTGACAAACCTGTAAAAAAAAGGTACTAATATCAATCATCTTCATCGTCATGATCAGAGTCCTAAATATACACCCAAATGCATCAGACAACAATGAATATGAATTCACCAATACATAAAAACCCTAGATACATAGAAGCACCTAAAAACATCAGTTCAACATAACAAGATATCCTAGTCTTTTACTACCTATCTTTCAACTTGTGAATTTTTAGTTGTTCCCAAATTCTAGTCATGTCAGTTGCGTGAAGGATCCTACGATGCGAGTGGCCACCTTCTCTTGCCGAATGCCAGTTTCCAACCTCGCCATGATCAAATGATGCTTCCATTGCAATCAGTTCATGAATTATTTCACGCCCTTTTGTACACATAGACATTCAACCTGAAAAAGACATTCAGACAGTGAAAAGTGAGACAAGTCTGGATCACCTCTCTAAACTACGAAACAATTATAGGATCCAAACTGCTAAAATCCTTTATTCAATACGCCATAGACAGAAGTGGCGAGATCGAATCGGTCGAAGAATCACCAGAAGCTGAAGCTGAAGCTTTAATCACAAAGCTTTCGAGATTTAACAGGGAATGGTCTCGAGGATTTTAAAGACTATATATGAATCTAACCAGTATTACATCTGAGGCATTAATATCAAAATTTCCATTCTTTTGACTGATATTTTCTACAGAACATCAAACATACAATATCCGATTTTGAGGCATTTCCAGGTAGATTAAGCACAAAGATTCTGGAAAAAGAAAAACAAACTGATTTCGCGAAAGAATCTATGTTAGTTGGATCAAACACAGTAGAACCAAGACATACTCTGAGATGAATTGAGGTCCCTAGCCGAATCTCATGAACCCATGGTAGCTTGATGTCATGAAAATCGTCGACCGGGAGACGTTTCCGGAAGTTGGACGCAGTAAGGCGGGAGATTGAACCAAATTCGTCATCAAGGCTTCCACGATTAGCCTCAAAGAGAAGCTAGGAGGAAGAAAAATTGGAGCTTTTGGCAGAGAAAGGAAGAGAGAAGTCAAAGAATGTTGAGGCGAGGGGGAGAAGAGAAGATGAGAGAAGATGATGTTGACTGAGAGGACAAATAAAGGATAATGAATGAAGAATTACTACGCTTTCATTATTTTTGTGAAACATCAAATAGAGATCGATCGTGATTTCAGAGGAAGCCGTGAAGAGAGCGAAGAAGACGGATCAACACCTCATACACTACAAGAAAACTGTAATTTAGCGTCGAAATTTAGCGTCGGAATTTTTTCGACGCTAATATAGCGTCGAAATTGCGTCGAAGTTGTGTCAGTCTACATATTCGATGCTAATTCGACGCTAAGTAGGGTCGAATAAATTCGACGCTAAATCGACGCAAATTAGCATCGAATTAGCGTTGGAATTCCTGAATTCGACGCTAAATCGATGCTAATGTTGCATCGATTTAGCGTCGATCACGTAGCGTCGAATTTGCCTCAAATTGGTCTATAGAAGACACACTAAAAATGAGTTTACCTACCTGGGTGCAAAATCGACGCTAATTCGATGCAAAATCGACACTAAGGTATTCGACGCTAA